CATTTGTCATCGTTCTAATGCTCTGATGACAAATGACTCCCTGGAGAGGTGAAGTGACTCTGGCCAATGTCGCTCCTCCCACCTCGACCTCGCCTCTGCACTGGGACTCAGGAAGGGACCCAGAATGAGTCCTGTGCTCAGCCAAGTGGAGGCTGCAAGATCTTTCCTTCTCCTGGACTGGGGCCACCTCCTCCACTGTCTGAGAGGTCAAAGGCCAGTGTTGGAGGGCTACCGAGTGTCCAGGTGTCTCTCCCATCCTGAGGGTCACGGTGGGGTCTCTTCTTGGCTTTTCCCAAGGGCTGTGTCTCCTCCTTGACAAGTGGACATTTGGATCATTCTCCTGGGTGGGGGCTGTCCTGGGCACTGCAGGGTGCTGAGCAGCGTCCCCGGCCTCCACCCACTCCATGCCAGCAGCACCTCCCCACCCAGCTGAGACAACCAAAGATGTCTCCCAACATTGTCAAATGTCCCTTATGGTGATAAAACAGCTCCAGCTGAAAACCACTGGCTTAGTTCCTGCCCTTGTTCATTCGTTCTTTTTCTTTTTCCTTCCTTCCTTCCTTCCTTCTTCCTTCTTTTCTTTCCTTCTTTCTTTCCTTCCCTCCCTCCCTCCCTCCCTCCCTCCCTCCCTCCTTCCTTCCTTCCTTCCTTCCTTCCTTCCTTCCTTCCTTCCTTCTTTCTTTCGGTCTCTCTCTCTCTTTCTTTCTCTCTTTCTCTCTCTTTTCTTTTCTTTCTTTTTCTTTCATTTTTTTTGGGATGGAGTCTTGCTCTGTCGCCCAGGCTGGAGTGCAGTGGCCCCATCTCGGCTCACTGCAACTTCCGCCTCCCCGGTTCAAGCAATTCCCCAGCCTCAGCCTCCCAAGCAGCTGAGACTACAGATGCGTGCCACCGCACCTGGCTAAGTTTTTGTATTTTTAGGAGAGACGGGTTTCGCCATGTTAGCCAGGATGGTCTCGATCTTCTGACCTCGTGATCCACCTGCCTCGGCCTCCCAAAGTACTGGGATTATAGGCGTGAGCCACTGCACCTGGCTTTGTTACTTTTTTAAAAGAATATTGGTCGGGTTCGGTGGCTCATGCTTGTAATCCCAACACTTTGGGAGGCCGAGGTGGGCGGATCACCAGAGGTTGGGAGTTCGAGACCAGCCTGGGCAACATGGCGAAACCTCAACTCTACGAAAAACACAAAAATTAGCTGGGTGTGGTGGGCACATCTGTAATCCCAGCTACTCAGGAGGCTGAGACATGAGAATCACTTGAACCTGGGAGGTGGAGGTTGCAGTGAGCTGAGATTGTGCCACTGCATTTCAACCTGGCCGACAGAGTGAGACTCTGTCTCAAAAAAAAAAAAAAAAAAAAAAAAAAAAAAAAAAAAAAAAAAAAAAAGGCTGGTGTGGTGGCTCACACCTGTAATTCCAGCACTTTGGGAAGCTGAGGCAGGTGGATCATGAGGTCAGGAGATCAAGACAATCCTGGCCAACGTGGTGAAACCCTGTCTCTACTAAAATACAAAAAATTAGCCAGGCATGGTGGTTTCAGACTGTAGCCCTGCTACTCGGGAGGCTGAGGCAGGAGAATCACTGGAACCTAGGAGGTGGAGGTTGAAATGAGCTAAGATTGTGCCACTGTACTCCAGCCTGGCAACAGAGCAACACTCAGTCTCAAAAAAAACAAATATCTATATATATACATATATATATATACACACACACACACACACACATATATATATACACATATATATACACTACACACACATATACATATACACACACATATATATACACACGTATACATATGTATATACAGACACATACACACAATTTCATTTTACTGTAGAGATGGAGCCTTGCTCTGTCGCCCAGGCTGGAGTGCAGGACCACAAACATGGCTCACTGCAGTCTTGACGTCTGGCTGCTCTGAGGTTTCTGAATCACCTTTTGTGAAATCGCGGGGCCTGGGAAGCTGCCAACACCCTTCCCTTCTCCCTGTGGGACCTTCTCTCCCCCCTGCCCGTCCATCTTCCCCCTTCCTCCTTGGAGCTTGGAGAATGTTCCCACCCCTGCCTCTCCCCCATCAGTACCTGGAATGGGGTTTCTTTGTGGAAGCCAGAAGACCCTTGAACCATTAAGTACATCTTCTTCTTGGCTAAAATGTGTTCCCGGCCCATGCAGGAAGCTTGTACGAAGTAGAAGACGTGGCCAAATTTGCTGGTGAAGGTAGAAGGAAGCCTGGGAGGTAAGTTGAAATGGAAATCAAAGGTGTGGCTGCCTGCACTTAACCAATTATCTGAAAGCAAAACACACCAATGCCATCAGAAGGTTCTAGAATCTTTACTTGGGGGCTCTATTTTAATATTTATTTATTTATTTATTTTTGAGGCAGGATCTTGCTCTGCCAGCCAGTCAGAGTGCAGTGGTATGATCTCAGCTCATCGCAACCTCTGTCTCCCAGGTTCAAACCATTCTCCTGCCTCAGCCTCCCGAGTAACTGGGATTACAGGCGTGCGCCACCACACCTGGCTAATTTTTCGATTTTTGGTAGAGACAGGGTTTTGCCTTGTTGTCTAGGCTGCTCTTGAACTCCTGGCCTCAGGTGATCTGCCCACCTCGGCCGCCCAAAGTGCTGGGATTACAGGCATGAGCCACTGCGCCCGGCCAGAACTAGCAATTTCTCAGCACCTACTGTATACCTGGCCTTATTCTAAACCATTTATGTGTCATTAAATCATTAAGTCCTTAACAAAAGCTTATGAAATAAGACCTCTTCCTATTCCCATTTTATAGATGGGTTGGCCAGGTGCAGTGGCTCATACCTGTAATCCCAGTGTTTTGGGAGGGCAATGCAGGTGGATCATGAGGTCAGGAATTCCAGACCAGCCTGGGCGAGATGGTAAAACCCCATCACTACTAAAAATAGAAAAAAAATAGGCCGGGCACAGTGGCTCACACCTGTAACCCCAGCACTCTGGGAGGCTGAGGCGGGCGGATCACCTGAAGTCGAGAGTTCCAGACCAGCCTGACCAATATGGAGAAACCCGGTCTCTACTAAAAATACAAAATTAGCCAGGCATGGTGGCGCATGCCTATAATCCCAGCTACTTGGGAGGCTGAGGCAGGACAGTCACTTGAGACCGGGAGGTGGAGGTTGCAGGGAGCCGAGATCATACCATTGCACTCCAGCCTGGGCAACAGAAGTGAAACTCCGTCTAAAGAAAAAAGAAAGATGGCCGGGCGCGGTGGCTCAAGCCTGTAATCCCAGCACTTTGGGAGGCCAAGGCAGGTGGATCACGAGGTCAAGAGATCGAGACCATCCTGGTCAGCATGGTGAAACCCCGTCTCCATTAAAAATACAAAACATTAGCTGGGCATGGTGGCGCATGCCTGTAATCCCAGCGACTCAGGAGGCTGAGGCAGGAGAATTGCCTGAACCCAGGAGGCGGAGGTTGCGGTGAGCCGAGATCGCGCCATTGCACTCCAGCCTGGGTAACAAGAGCGAAACTCCGTCTCAAAAAAAAAAAAAAGAAAGAAAAGAAAAAAATTAGCCAGGCATGGTGGTGGGCACCTGTAATCCCAGCTACTCGGGAGGCTGAGGCAGAGAATTGCTTGAACCCGGGAGGCAGAGGTTGCAGTGAGCTGAGAGGGTGCCACTGCACTCCAGCCTGGGCGACAGAGTGAGACTCCATCTCAAAATAAATAAATAGAATAAAAATATGGATGGGCTAACTGAGAGACAGAGAGGTCACATAATTGCTCAGTATGAGCGTCTGGTAAGTTGACGTTTGTCCCCGGGATATTTGCACGGCTGGAGTCCCACCCATCACTTGGTTCTAAAACTGTAGAAGTCTAGTGGCCAGGTGCGGTGGCTCACACCTGTAATCCCAACACTTTGGGAGGCTGAGGTAGAAAGCTTCACTTGAGCTCAGGAATTTCAGACCAGCCTGGGCTGAAATAGGGAGATCTTGTCTGTACAAAAAATACAAAAGCTAGCCAGGCATGGTGGCATCTGCCTGTGGTCCCAGATACTCAGGAAGTAGAGGTGGGAGGATCGCTTAAGCCAGAGAGGTTGAGGCTGCAGTGAGCTGTGATCACACCACTGCCCTCTAGTCTGGGGGACAGAGCAAGGCCCTGTCTCAAAAATAAATACATAGATAAATGAAATTAAATGACACTTTGTTCAGCCAAGTGTTGGCCATGTGTTCTGCTTGACTGCATAATACCTGGGAATAGCCTGAGCGCAGTGGCTCACGCCTGTAATCCCAGCACTTTGGGAGGCCCAGGCAGGTGGATCACAAGGTTAAGGGATTGAGATCATCCTGGCCAGTATGGTGAAACCCCGTCTCTACTAAAAATACAAAAATTAGCTGGGTGTGGTGGCGCACGCCTGTAGTCTCAGCTACTCGGGAGGCTGAGGCTGGAGAATCGTTTGAACCGGGGAGGCGGAGGTTGCAGTGAGCCGTGATGGCGCCATTGCACTCCAGCCTGGGCGACACAGTGAGACTCTGTCTCAAAAAACAACAATAACAACAACAAGAACAACCTGGGAATATCCCCACAAACACATTTTGAAAAGGACATATAACACACCCCACAGCTCAGCAGACTCTCTGACATTTGTTCAGATGTCAGATCTGAATTGCTGGAACTGAGGACTAACCCTGGGAGGCCTCCCTCACTCTTCTACCTCCACCATCTTTCTCTTTTTTGAGATGGAATCTCGATCTGTCACCCAGGCTGGCGAGCAGTGGCAAGATCTTGGTTCATTGCAACCTCCAGCTCCCGAGTTCAAGTGATTCTCTTGCCTCAGCCTCCCGAGTAGCTGGGATTACAGGCATGAACCAGCACGTCTAGCTGGTTTTTTGGTGTTTTTTTGGCAGAGATGGGGTTTTGCTATATTGGCCAGGCTGCTCTTAAACTCCTGACCTCAAGTGATCCTCCTGCCTCGGCCTCCCAAAGTGCTGGAATTACAGGCATGAGCCACCACACCCGGCCTACCTCCACTGTCTTACCCCATGAATAAAGGACTCCCTACTTTGTCTCCTGGGGTTTTGCTGTCAGAGTGAAACTTATCTGTAAAATATTAAGACTTCTTAGGGGCCTCTCAAAGGCAGCCATAGGACTAAGCATTTTCCAAGGAGACTACTTGGAACCCTCATTTTGAATATCTAGGTTCTGATCAGCTCCTTGTGCCTTGTTATTTTCATGTTTGGTGTATCTGCTGGTCATTGTTCTACATGGCTTCCCTCCTAGGGAGAAATCAGGCCACTGCCTATTTCTGGTAGCCCTGGAGGTTTGTTGATTGACTCCTGGATGTGTTTATTTTCCAGATCCAGGTTCCTGTCATGGCTAAGGGTGGCTGGTGGCCTCGTCCTTACCCTCCACTGGGAATGTCTTTGTCTTATGCACGTAGTCTGCCTTGTTGTTGCAAATAACATCCCTGCTGTAATCTTGGGATGTTCCAGCTTCTTCACTCCACTCAACGTAACCCCTTCCCACGAGCTCCACCTTCACCGTGGGGTCTACCAGCGTGCTGTTCAGGGTTAAAATCACCTGCCCTTTTATGCTGGAGCCGGCCAGGTAGATTGCATCCTGGGGGAGCACCAACTCGATCGACTTCACCACAGACATGGGGGGTTGGGGTGGTAGAGAAACATCCCTCTCCCTCCCCCATGTCCCTGAAATTCCCGGTTCCTTGGCCCTAGAAAGGTAATCCATCTATGACATCACTCAGCTCAGAGTTCCGGGAAGGGGCGGATCCCAGTGGCCAGGAGGGGAGGCAAGGCTGTTGGTCAGGGTGGGTGGTTGCTTGGGAAATTTGTAGTCCCCATTGGTTCTTTTTTTTTTTTTTTTTTTTGAGATGGAGTCTCACTGCCACCCATGGCTAATTTTTTTGTATTTTTATTTATTCTGTTTTATTTTTTGAGATGGTCTCACCCTGTCACCCAGGCTGGAGTGCAGTGGCCAAATCTTGGGTCACTGCAACCTCTACCTCCCAGGCTCAAGCAATTCTCCCGCCTCAGCCTCTCAAGTAGCTGGGATTACAGGTGCCCATCACCACGCCCAGCTACTTTTTGTATTTTTTGTAGAGACGGGGTTTCGACGCCTTGTCCAGGATGGTTTTGATCTCTGGACCTGGTGATCTGCCTGCCTCGGCCTTCCAAAGTGCTGGGATTACAGGCGTGAACCACCTTGCCGCCCGGCCTTTTTGTTTTTGGAGACAAAGTCTCATTCTGTCGCGTAGGCTGGAGTGCAGTGGCACCACCTTGGCTCGCTGCAACCTCCACCTCCCAGGTTTAAGTAATTCTGCTACCTCAGCCTCCTGAGTAGCTGGGATTACAGGCATTTACCACTACCACCACTGGCTAATTTTTCTGTATTTTTTTAATTTATTTATTTATTTATTTATTTATTTATTTATTTTTTTGAGACGGAGTTTCGCTCTTGTTACCCAGGCTGGAGTGCAATGGCGCAATCTCGGCTCACCGCAACCTCCGCCTCCTGGGTTCAGGCAATTCTCCTGCCTCAGCCTCCTGAGTAGCTGGGATTACAGGCACGCACCACCATGCCCAGCTAATTTTTTGTATTTTCAGTAGAGACGGGGTTTCACCATGTTGACCAGGATGGTCTCGATCTCTTGACCTTGTGATCCACCCGCCTCGGCCTCCCACAGTGCTGGGATTACAGGCTTGAGCCACTGCGCCCGGCCCTGTATTTTATTTTTTTAATTTTTATTATTATTATTTTTTGAGACAGAGTCTTGCTCTGTCGGACAGGTTGGAGTGCAGTGGCACAATCTCAGCTTACTGCAACCTCTGCCTCCCGGGTTCAAACAACTCTCCTGCCTCAATCTCCCAATTAGCTGGGATTACAGACACATGCCACCATGCCCGGCTAGTTTTTGTAGTTTTAGTAGAGACGGGGTTTTACCAGTTGGCCAGGCTGGTCTCGAACTCCTGGCCTCAAGTGATCCGCCTGCGTCGGCCTCCCAAAGTGCTGGGATTACATTCGTGAGCCACCCTGCCCAGGTGCATACACACTCATTTTCATCTTAAGGACTCTTCATTTATATTGGTCTTATTGGAAAAAACATACAGATATGGCCAGGACCTGAAATCTGGTGTGTACTGAAGTTACTTCGGGGCACCTGTGTGTAATTTGGATTTTGACGCCATCAGGAAGCAGCAACTCCCTGTGTGATTGACATTTCTCTTTTTTTTTTTTTGGAGACAGAGTCTTGCTCTATCGCCCAGGCTGCAGTACAATGGCGCCACCTCAGCTCACTGCAACCTCCGCCTCCCAGGTTCCAGCGATTCTCCTGCCTCAGCCTCCCAAGTAGCTGGGATTACAGGCATGCACCACCACACCTGGCTAATGTTTTGTATTTTAGCAGAAATGGGGTTTCACCACATTGGCCAGGCTGGTCTTGAACTCCTGACCTCAGGTGATCCGCCCGCCTCAGCCTCCCAGACATTTCTCTTTATGCCTGCATCTCCCCCATTGTATGGGAAGTCCTTCCAGGGTGAGACTTTGTCTAAGTGAACATTGTGCTCACCGACGTCTGCGTGACCCAGGCAGGATCTAGCTCAGACAGGCACCAGGGGTAGGGTGGGATTAATGAAAGTTTGTTGAATGACTTAATGACCTCTGAGAGTGTATCATTTTGCAAAAGGGAAACTGAGGCCTTTTGGACTCTAGCAGTTATTCCTGGCACCTGATTTGCATGTGGGCTGGTGCCTGAAAGGGAAGGATGTTGAATCACAGGAGATGCTAGAAAGTACCCATTCTCTAGCCTGGAAAGCCTCGTTCCTTGTCTTGGCTGTAACTTGCTTTATTTTATGTGATGGCGTTTGCGGTATTGACATCTTGTTTCCCTAAGTGAAGTTTGTCCAACCCTCGACCCACCAGCCACATGTAGCCCAGGATGGATATGGCTCAACACAAATTCATCAACTTTCTTAAAACATTACGAAATTTTTGTGCAATTTTTCTTTTTTTTTTTTTCAAGACGGAGTTTCACTTTTGTTGCCCAAGCTCAGCTCACTGCAACCTCCACCTCCCAGATTCAAGCGATCCTCTCCCTCAGCCTCCTGAGTAGCTGGGACTACAGGTGCGTGCCACTACGCCTGGCTTATTTTTGTTTTGTTTTGTTTTTTGAGACAGAGTCTCGCTCTGTTGCCCAGGCTGGAGTGCAGTGGCGTGATCTCGGCTCATTGCAACCTCCACCTCCAGAGTTCAAGAGATTCTCCTGCCTCAGCCTCCTAAGTAGCCGGAACTATCAGTGCATGCCACCACGCCTGGCTAATTTTTTGTATTTTTAGTAGAGATGGATTTTCACTGTGTTAGCCAGGATGGTCTCGATCTCCTGACCTTGTGATCCACCGACCTTGACCTCCCAAAGTGCTGCGATTATGAGTGTGAGGCATGGCGCTTGGCTAGTGTTAGTGTATTTTATGTGTGGCCCAAGACAATTCTTCCTGTGTGGCCCAGAGGAACCAAAAGATTGGACACCCCTGCTCTAATCAGTTTGTGAGCTTTTTTTCAGAGATGCCTGGAATAGTTTGTTACTCATGTTTTTAAATGATTCACTTGAACAATTATTACTGTTTTTCGAGACAGGCTGGAGTGCAGTGGCGCAATCATGGCTCATTACATCCTTGATCGTCAGGGCTCAAGAGATCCTTCTGCATCAGCCTCCTGAGTAGCTGGGACTACAGGCGCACACCGCCATGCCTGGCTCATTTATTTCTATTTTTTTTAGAGACAGGGTCTCACTATGTTGCCCAGGCTGGTCTTGAACTCTCTGGACGCAAGAGATCAGCCTTCCTTGGCCTCCCAAAGTGCTGGGATTACAGATGTGAGCTACTGCACCTAGCTGGGCAATTATTAACCTCAGCAGCCGGGCGCGGTGGCTCACGCCTGTAATCCCAGCACTTTGGGAGGCCGAGGTGGGTGGATCACGAGGTCAAGAGATCGAGACCATCCTGGTCAACATGGTGAAACCCCGTCTCTACTGAAAATACAAAAATTAGCTGGGCATGGTGGTACGTGCCTGTAATCCCAGCTACTCAGGAGGCTGAGGCAGGAGAATTGCCTGAACCCGGGAGGCGGAGGTTGCGGTGAGCCGAGATCGTGCCATTGCACTCCAGCCTGGGTAACAAGAGCGAAACTCCGTCTCAAAAAAAAGTAGGGAAAGAGAGTAGATACCCTCAGCAAATTTGAGAAATTTTGACTTTCTCAAGGTAATTAGGGAACTGGAGCCCTCAATCAAGAGCCCTCAATATCTTTCCTGCAGGAGAGCTAGATACCTCCTCTGTGATACTTAACTTCCGCTGGCCAAGGTGCCTGGGCTGTGCCCCTCACCACGTGTACATGAAAATGTATTCCCTGGCCAGGTGTGGTGGCTCACGACTGTAATCCCAGCCCTTTGGAGGCTGAGGCTGGTGGATCACCTGAGGTAAGGAGTTCGAGACCAGCCTGATCAATATGGAGAAACTCCATCTCTACTAAAAATACAAAAATTAACTGGGTGTGGTGGTGGACACCTGTAATTCCAGCTACTCGGGAGGCTGAGGCAGGAGAACTGCTTGAACCTGGGAGCAGTGAGCAGAGATTGCACCATTGCACTCCAGCCTGGGCAACAAGAGCAAAACTCCATCTTGGAAAAAAAAGGAAAAAGAAAAAGAAAAGAAAAACAGGCTGGGCGTGGTGGCTCACATCTGTAATCCCAGCACTTTGGGAGGCTGAGGCGGGCAGATCACGAGCTCAGGAGATCGAGACCATCCTGGCCAACATGGTGAAACCCTGTCTCTGCTAAAAATACAAAAATGAATTGGGTGTAGTGGCATGCGCCTGTAGTCCCACCTACTCAGGACACTGAGGCAAGAGAATTGCTTGAACCTGGGAGGCCGAGGTTGTAGCGAGCTGAGATCGCGCCACTGCACCCTAGACTGGTGACAGAGTGAGACTCCATCTCAACAACAAAAAACAAACAAACAAAAAAACAAAAAGTGTTCCTGGCTGGGCACAGTGGCTCACGCCTGGGATTCCAGTGCTTTGGGAGGCCCAGGAGGGCAGATCACCTGAGGTCAGGAATTTGAGACCAGCCTGGACAACATGGTGAAACGCCATCTCTATTAAAAATATAAAAATTAGCCGGGCGTGGTGATGCAGGCCTGTAGTTCCAGCGGAGGCAGGAAAATTGCTTGAACCCGGGAGGCAGAGGTTGCAGTGAGCCAAGATCATGCCATTGCACTCCAGTCTGGGCACCAAAGCAACACTTCATCTCAAAGAAGAAAAAGAAGGCCGGGCGAGATGGCTCAGGCCTGTAATCCCAGCACTTTGGGAGGCTGATGCGAGTGGATCAAACGTCAGGAGTTCGAGACCAGCCTGGCCAATATGGTGAAACTCTGTCTTTACTAAAAATACCAAAAAAATTAGCCAGCCATGGTGGGGGGCGCCTGCAGTCAGCTACTCAGGAGGCTGAGGCAGGAGAATTTCACGTAACCCTGGAAGGTACGGGTTGCAGTGCGCCAAGATCACGCCATTGCACTTCAGCCTGAGGACCAAAGCAAGACTCCATCTCAAAAAGAACAAGAAAAACATATTTCCTCTTTCAGCCATGTTGAGTTTTTGCAACAGCGCTGCAAGCAGATAACATGCTCCAATGGAAGCAGGCTGGGTTTTTGTAGCAGCCACCTTCATTTTGGAAGGGCTCAGGCGTCCCACGTCCTCAGGTGGGCCTGCTTACACCTGTGGTGTGGTTCCTACCCGGCCAATGGCCGAGGGTCCGGGATTGTGTGCGGTAGCCTCGATCGTGTACTGAGGTTGCAGACAATGAACGGAGCACCATTTGGACATCGTGGATTAGAATGCAGGAGTTTCCCAAGGCTGCTCCGACAAAGGACCTCAAGCTAGTGGCTGGAAACCACATATTTATTTTTTTGTAGACAGTCTCACTCTGTCGCCCAGGCTGGAGTACAGTGGCTCCATCTCAGCTCACTGCAACCTCCGCTTCCGGGGTTCAAATGATTCTCCTGCCTCAATCTTTTGAGTAGCTGGGATGATAGGCACACACCACCATGCCCAGCTAATTTTTGTATTTTTAGTAGAGAAGGGGTTTCACCATGTTGATCAGGCTGGTCTGGAACTCCTGACCTCTAGCGATCCACCCGCCTTGGCCTCCCAAAGTGCTGGCATTCCAGGCGTGAGCCATCATGCCCGGCCCACACATTTCTTATCTTACAATTTGGGAGGTGAGAAGTCTGAAATAAATTTTAGGGGCAGGGCGGGCTCTAGGAGTCTGTTTCTTGCTTTTTCTAGCCACCCGAGGCTGCCCAGCTTTCTTGCCTCTTGACGTGATCATTCCAAAGCCTGCTTCCACTTTCCCATCACCTTTGACTTTGACCTTTTCATATGCCTCTTTCACTTATTAGGACCTCTTAAGAACATTGGGGACACCTGGATCTCCCAGGAGACGCTCCCCAACACAAAATCATTAACGTAATCACACCTTCGAAATTGCAAAGTCCTTTTAGCTGTGTCGGGCACAGATCCTGGGGCTGAGGACGTGGGGGTCTACAGGCGCCTATCTTTGGGAGCCATGATTCTGTCTCCTATGTAGGGACACAGCTGAAGTCCCGCTGACCAGATAGAGGAGGCTTAATACAATGCTGAAGAAACTGTTATAAAAAGCTAAGTGGGAACTCAACGTTTTTCTGCTCACAGATCTCCAGCTAAAGACCAAAGTCCTCCCCGGTGGCCTTCAAGGTATTATATATCACCCCTCTGACCTCAGCTCCCCCTCCCCTTTGCTTGGTGGGCCCCAACCACAGCAGCCCCTTCCTGCTCCCTGGACACCTCTAAGCCTTTTCCGGCCTCTGGGTTTGACCTTCCCTCCTAGACCCATCTGTCCTTGGAGTCTCATCTCCCATCCCAGCTCAAATGTCATCTCTTCAGCAAGGCCCACCGCCGTGGCCCCAATGAGAGAGTATTCTCTCTCCCCGCCCCCCCTCCACGTGGCCGCTGGTCCCTCTCTCCTATAAGGAATCGTCTGAAATTATCTGATTTATTTATTCACTTCTTGCCTGTCTCCCCCAGATAGGAATTTTCCCTCCCTGAGACCACCAGCTGGGTCTGCCATGTACACTGCTGGGCCCCGCAGCTCTGAGCAACCTGTCCTGCTGCTTTGTAGGTGTCCAGCCACGGGTGACTCGTGTGCCCGCCAGGACTGGTCAGAGTGGAATAGACAGGGCGGAGGGGGCAGGGCAGCCCTGCCCGCCTGGACTGCTCGGAGAAGGCGGGAAAACGAGGCGGGAAAAGACAGCAAACAAGCCCTGCGGGTGGGTAGGGTGGGGAGCGTTGGCAGGACCTGATGCCAGGCAGTGGGGCTTGGGGCGGTCAGGCCAGCCATCAGGGTGCAGGTGGTCTCCTAGGGGCCCCCCACATTCCCTCACAGTATTTCCACATTGATTCTGGCCTTCTTAGACCTACTGGTCAATGCGTGCCTGAGCGGGGGGCTGCGAACGGACTTGGACTTGAGAGGTCTGTACCCTGGGGGGTCCCCAAGGCTCCTAGGGGGGCCCACGTGCGGGGGGTGACCAGGCCCTGCCACGCAGCCCCTTTGCCCGCTGGGCGCGCCCTGCGGAGCGCGCAGGGCTGGGCGGAGCCGCGGCCCGCTGGGCGGAGGCGCCGTGGACAGAGGCGGGGGCGCCCCCCACCCTCTTTCTCGCTTCCCGCCACTGCGCCGGCCAATCAGGAGGCAGGCGCCCGCCCCCGGCACGGCCTCCTGCGGCCCCGCAACTCCCAAATGCCGAGTTTTCGCGGGAAAAAAATCAGAGCAGCTGGCAGCGCGGCGGGCAGCGTTTGCCGAGTGGGCACTTCGAGTCGCACGCACGTCCGCGCAGGGTCCGGGCCACGCACGCGGCTCCATCACCATCCCCAGCCGGGCCAGGCGCGCAGGCAGACGAGGGGTTCGCGGTGACTGGAGAGGTGAGCGGGCGGGCCGGGTCGGGGTACCAGCCCGGGCCGGGCACACTGGGCTCGGGGACTTTGCAAAACTTTCCCGCGCTACCGGCGCGGGCGCACGCGGGTCCCGCACACTGTCCCGGGATCCAAGGCCTCCCCTTCCGCCTAACGCTCGGGGGTCGCTCCCCGGCACATACCCGGCTCCAGCCGGGACCAGCGGAGCGGGGCGGGGGGTCGAGCGCGCCAGGTGGGGGAGGTCCAGGCGAGCGGCCGGGGAGGATGTCAGGCTCCGCGCCTGCGCGCGGGGTGCCCCGCGATTCAATTGTCGCGCCCGAGCCCGATTTCGCGCGCCCTGAGTTCCCCGGGTGCGTCTGGGCCAATGGGAAGCGAGCGGGGCGGGGCGGCCGGGTGCGGCGCAGCCAATAAGAGGCGGCTCAAGTGAAGGGGGGCGGGACTTGGCGAGCTGGGCCCCTCGGTCGTCCCGGCGCGCGGGGGTGGGCGTGGGCTCCATAGCGCGACCCGCACGGGCCGGTGGGAGTGCGGGAGGGACGCTGGGGGTTTGGGGCCAGGGAGAAGGCAAGCCACGGGGGGTTGGGGGCCGAGGTGAGTCGCGGGGCGCACGTAGTGGGGGGGACGGGGCGGGGCGGGGCGGCCGGTTGCCATGGCCACCGCGGGGCGGGCCCGGTCGCGCACGCGCGCGGGGGGGGGGCGGGAAGGGGGGGGGGCGCGGGCACCCGAGGGGTCCCGGGGCCGGCGGGTCTCGGGTGGGATCCTTCTCTCTCAGTCGTACTTGGTTGAGTTCCCCCGGGACTTCTGAAGTTCCAGCCCGCGCTGGACTTTTGGGATTCCCTCTTCCGTAAATAGGAATCCGAGGAATGAATGAATCAATGAATGAATGAATAAACGAACCAACTGGGCCACTTGGCCCAGGCCTCCTTCCTCCTCTGGTCGTGGGTGTTTTCCTCTGGGAAGGAGGGGTAGGTTGGGTTGGGTGGTCTGAGATCCCTTTTGCTTTCCTTTCAATTCCGTCTTTTCATTCTCCTCCGTTTTCAATCTTCAACACTTGGCTAGTCCTTAATGCATTAAGTCCTTTATTTACTGTGTCTGGACCTGGCCGGGGTCTGGCTGTATATGGAAACTGGGAGGGCATCCTGGGAGTTTCCTGGTGTCCACAGACAGGACAAAAGCTACCCCAACTTCTTAAAGCATGGCATGGCTTGGAGGTGCTGGTAAAACTGATCTGAGGTTTTTGCTGTCCCTCCCCTCAGCGCCGACACCATGTGGATCCAGGTTCGGACCATGGACGGGAGGCAAACCCACACGGTGGACTCGCTGTCCAGGCTAACCAAGGTGGAGGAGCTGCGGCGGAAGATCCAGGAGCTGTTCCACGTGGAGCCAGGCTTGCAGAGGCTGTTCTACAGAGGCAAACAGGTACACCCGCCTCCAACACCTTTGTTCTGTGCCTGGTCCAGGCCCCGCGCTTCTGCAGCCACCACCGATACTTTCTCCCCCCCACCTCCCCCCCCAACCTCGTCCGGTCCCACTTCACCTCTCCCGGAAGAAGTCCACAGAAACCTCAAATGCCTGCGAGAGGAAGGAACAAAGGCAGGACTCGCAGATTGACACGCTGGGCTGGCGGCTGGCCTTCGAATCTATAGAGTCAGGGCTTTTAAACTTTCTTCTTCTTTTTTTAAAGCTCTCCTTGAAAATAATGGCTAGAGAAAGAAGTTTTGGAGGTGGCCGATGGAAGGCTGAGGAATTTTCGAGAAAGGGCCCAGGACCTATCCCATAGCTAGGACGGAAGGGACCAGGTTTTCTTTTTTAAACATCCACCACTGATGGCTCACAGCCTGTGCGGGTTAAGCGTCAGACCTCCAGAGTGTTTTTTCTAGAAATTTGGATTAGCTTATTCAGAGTCTGGGGATGGCGCTTGCTAATCAGGAATTTCCGCCACTCTGGGCCTGCTGTGCTGCCGCTGCTGGTGACCTGGGGCGCTTGGTCCCCAGGGGTCTGCCGGCCCGCCTGTGTCTCCCTCTGTTCTGTTCTTTCCCAAGCCCCTCGTTGCGTTTAAAATGGCCACCTTTGATTTCATAGCTGCCACGTTTGGGATGCTTCCTCCATTGACACCTGGGTGGGGGGTTCTACTTTGGTTGGTGTCTTTGTTGGGGGACTGTGGGCACCTCCTGCGAGCGTGGTTTCCCGGCAGGATGAGACGGTGTGATCGAAGGTGTGGGTCCCGTCAGCTGGAGTTGGTTGGACGGTGAGGACGGGTGTAGACGGCTGGAACTGGATTAAAAGTCGTCAGTTGGGCTGCGTGTACCCCACTGTGTTGTTGGATTTTGAACCGGGTACTGCTGCCATCTGGTGTCTAGTTTGCAAAATAAACACCGCCCCGGGCCAGGTTTTTTGGGGGCTGGGAGGTTCCTGCCTGCTCACTCCAGATGAGACCTGATGATTAATTTTTCTGGCTTGCGAGCCGTAGGAGACCTTCCTTAGCGCTCTTCCCGTAAGAGACATGATGACTTGAGTCTTAAGAATCTGAGTTAACCTGCCCTGCCCTGGTCGAGAGAACTTGGGGAGCTGACGGTACAGCCGCGTGCGTGTGCGCCGGGGAGAGGCTGGGGAGAGGCAGGGCCGGGCTCCACCGAGGAGCTCCGCCTGGCGCTCTCTTCCTCCCTCCTGCCATGCGTGCTTCCTTTGTGCCTTCCAAACTGATTTTGATTTGCGCTCGGTCTGTTGGGTCAGCACAGGAGGCTGCATTTCAGTTGGGACCTGCTAAGTTCATGGCTTAGCTCAATGGCGGGTTGGACTCTCACCTCCCAAATGCAGGAGAGGGGATGATGCTGAGTCCGCGCTCTGTGCCGGCCACGGAGCTGGCATTTTAATTCTTGCCTTTTAACCATAGAGGAAAGGGGAAACACGTAAACACAACTGCCGTGGATTTTACCATCGGCATTCTGACGCATGGGTTTTCTCATGACGCCCTCTCTGTCTTTCCGCTCATCAGTCCATCCTGCCAGGATGCATTTCATAGTAAACTTCAGACCCCACTCCACCTTACCCTTCCCTACTGAAACCACGCCATCAGTCACTAGAGTTCAGTATTTGTTTTTTCTTTTTGAGACAGGATCTTACTCTGCCCAGGCTGGTGCTGTGGCACAGTCCCAGCTCACTACAGCCTCAACCTCCTGGGCTCAAGCAGTCCTCCAGCCTCAGCCTCCCGAGTAGCTAGGACTATAGGCATGTACTACCTCGCCTGGCTAATCTTTGTATCTTTTGTGGAGATGGGATCTTTTTTTTTTTTGAGACAGAGTCTTGCTCTGTCGCCAGGCTGGAGTGCAGTGGCATGGTCTCGGCTCACTGCAACCTCCACCTCCCGGGTTCAAGCAATTCTCCTGCCTCAGCCTCCCGAGTAGCTGGGACTACAGGCACATGCCACCATGCCCAGCTAATTTTTGTAGTTTTAGTAGATACGGGGTTTCACCATGTTGGCCAGGATGGTCTCAATCTCTTAACCTTGTGATCCGCCTGCCTCGGCCTCCCAAAGTGCTGGGATTACAGGCGTGAGCCACCGCGCCCGGCGAGATGGGGTCTTATGTTGCCCAGGGTGGTCTCATGGGGTCAAGGGACCCTCCTGCCTCGGCCTCCCATAGTGTTGGGGTTACAGGTGTGAGGTTCCATGTCTGGTCTAAAAACTTTGTATACAGTGAAGCGGGTGTTAGGCCATTTGAATAATTTTGACAAATGTCTACATCCATGCAACCCAAAACCCTTGTCTGCCTTCATTTGTAACGTAATACTTGATTCGTACAATAGTGTCTGCCACATCTCTTAAGTTTAGTGTGGCAATGACAGGAACACATATAACACGTATGTTAATTAGACACATACATTGTGCTTTTTTTTTTTTTTTTTTTCCTCTGGAGGAAGAGTTTCGTTCCTGCCCAGGCTAGAGTGCAATGATTTGACCTCAGCTCACTGTAACCTTCACCTCCCAGGTTCAAGCGATTCTCCTGCCTCAGCTTCCTGAGTAGCTGGGATTACAGGCGGCCACCACCACGCCTGGCTAATTGTTTTGTATTTTTAGTAGAGACGGAGTTTCCCCATGTTGGCCAGGCTGGTCCCAAACTCCTGACCTCAGGTGATCCACCTACCTCGACCTCCCCAGGTGCTGGGATTACAGGTGTGAACCATTGCGCTCAGCCACGTGTATTGTGCTTTTGTCAGGATGTCGGCAGTGATGACACCTGGCCCTAGCCCTGCTGGAACTCAGCAGTACTGAACAGGGAACCGGGATTTGAACCTGGGACTTGAGTTTCTGAGGCTGGGCTTGCAACATGAAATGCGTCTCCCAGGTCACCTCTGGTAGTTATGAAAAGATTCCATGTTCCTATGTAACCTTCATGACCGCCTCTCAGTCCCCTTCCCCTGTGGCTGTTCCCCACGATGTAGCTTTGAAGAGACCGTGTCGTTGCTTCTGTCTTCCGGGCCTCAGAGAGGTGATGCAATTTTCCCACTTTCACGGCTGGGAAAGGGACCTGGCTGCAGGACGGTCCGGACAGCAGAGGGGAGTGGGGACGGAGGCACCAGCAGCCCCTCCCAGCGCCTGAAGTCTGCAGCCGTCCAGGCTAATATGATAGAAAGCAATGCTGTTCCCAGTGGGCACTAACAGGCTATTGTCTTCACAGAATGTTCTAGAGTAGGCCAGGCGTGGTGGCTCATGCCTGTAATCCCAGCACTTTGGGAGGCCGAGGCAGGTGGATCACTTGAGGTCAAGAGTTCGGGACCAGCCTGGCTAACATGGTGAAACCCTGTCTGTACTAAAAATATAAAAATTAGTCAGGCACGGTAGATCACGTGCCTGTAATCCCAGCTACTCAGGAGGCTGAGGCAGGAGAATTGCTTGAACCTGGGGAGGGGGAGGTTGCAATGAGCTGAGATCGCACCATTGCACTCCAGCCTGGGCGAAAGAGACAAACTCGGTCTCAAAAAAAAAAAAAAAAAAAAAAAAAGAATGTTCTAGAGTCTTCATAATCCTTTTTTTGCTGCTTAAAGAAACCTGGCCTAGTGGCCCAAGGTGTGCAGTGAGGTGGATGGAGACCTCGGAGCAGAAGAGAGTTGGGTTTGCCCTGGAACATGTGGGATCTCGTGGTGGTCTCACTTGGGCTGAATAGGGTGGCGGTGATGTCGCTTGATTGGCAGAAAGGCAGGGAGCTGATCAGAGCAGCTGGCCCCTGCCTAGGCAACGGGAGAGGCATCTGCAGCACCTCCCAATCTTTTTTTTTTTTTTTTTGGAGACAGTCTTGTTCTGTCGCCAGGCGCCAGGCTGGAGTGCAGTGGCGCAATCTCGGCTCACTGCAACCTCTGCTTCCTGGGTTCAAGCAATTCTCCTGCCTCAGCCTCCTGAGTAGCTGGGACTACAGGCATACGCTGCCACACCCAGCTAGTTTTTGTATTTTGGTAGCGACAGGGTTTCACCATGTTGGTCAGGATGGTCTCGATTTCTTAACCTCGTGATCCGCCCGTCTCGGCCTCCCAGAGTGCTGGGATTAGAGGTGTGAGCCACGGCGCCGGCCAGTCTTTTTTTTATTTGGCTGCACATCAGAATAACAATAGCTGTCCTCTGCGGCCCCTTTAACCTGCTCAGGTACAACATCCTGTACTATACATCATCTTTTTGGCGTCCCTGACCAGAGACTCGCCAGTTCCCACGCCATCTCATTTCAGACAGGGCTGATGGCCACCACGGTGCAGCGCAGTGTGAATTCAGTGAGGTTATGGATGTGAAGGGTGGAGGGAGCCCCGTGCCAGGCTCACGGTCAAAGTGAAATAAATCACTCAGCACAGGGTCTCTCCCGCTCGCACTGTGGGTGTTCGGGGCCAGATCATCCTCTGGCTGGGGCCGTCCTGGGCCCGGCAGGGTGCTGAGCAGTGCCCCTGGCCTCCACCCACTTCATGCCACGAGCACCCTTTCCTTACCAGGCATGACAACAACAAGTATCCCCAGACACTTCCATTCCTCCAAGGCAGTATTGAGATCAGTGTGATGCCTTAGTCGAAATGGTGTCTCAGGAACGGCCTTGGAAGGGTCACTTGTCACAGTGATGCCTCGGGTGTCCCTGCTGCATGGCCCCCTTGCAGAGACCTGCCCCTCTGGCTGCAGGAGGGAGGGCCCCTGCCATCAGCTCCCACTCACTGTGGCATCCCTCCCCCAGGAAGGCTCCCCAGTAGAGGGTGGGGTCTCTGTTAGGATTACTCACCGCTGCTGTCCCGGTCCCAAGCAGCTGTAGACAATCTGTAAATGTGTGGGTGTGGCTTTGTTCCAATAAAACTTGATTTATAAAAGCTGGTACGCAAGAGGGGTGGCGGCTCATGCTTGTAATCCCGGTACTTTGGGAGGCTGAGGCATGTGGATCACCTAAGGTCAGGAG